GGGGGGGGGGGAGGTGCACGGGTCTCAGTCCCCAATAATCTTTATGGCTTTGGGTCTTCTCGGGTAGTTACATAATCTCCTTCATATCCCCTGGTTGGGGAACCCTTAAAACCCCAAGGGCCCACATTTCGGAAGGCTTGTAAGGAAGTTCGCCTCGGCTTCCTGCCGAGAAGCGTCTGGAACAAGCAGACCCGGATCGGGCCTCCTTCCCCCTAACCCAACCCTTCCCCCCGTACAAAATTTTGTGGCGCGCAAACGTTTACAATTAAGCGGCCAAATGAAGGGACCATGGAACTTCCATTAGACAGTCCCAAAAGCCGGCATCAAAAACCTTGTGGACCCTAAATCCATACATAGCTGGTCGATTGGACCCTCAGCATAGGGTTTAGGATTTAGGGTTTAGGGTTTAGGGTTCAGGGTTTGGGGCATTTACTGGTGAGGTCGCAGAGATCAACCTGCCCTAAACGACACTAAGCCACCCCAGCCCAGCTTCCCTTCAAAACTTCCAAGAGCCGCGTACCTTCCGGGCCGAATCGGAAAATGGACGGTTCGTTTGAGCCGAGCTGCGAAAAAACCATCGATTCCTCCCATGTCCACCCTTTTTTAAGAGCCTTGTTTGAACTAATCGTACTTCAGGGCTTAGGCTTCAAATACTACCCCCTTGCAAGGAGCTACTAGAATCACGTACGCCTTCCTAAAGCCCCTTGAACACGGCCGGAGTGTACCTAGGCTAGCATTCTGTCTTTCAAGGCACAGGTAGAAATTTCCGAGCAAGAAAGGGGCATCTCCCCTGTTCTACAGATAAACTCGCTTAGGGCTTCGGGCTTAAAATTCTTGGGTCATCCCTAGGAACCTGAGCACCTCCGCACTTTTGGGCCGCACGGCTGCTAAATCTAAAATTCCGAGCCTCTCCACTTCGTGGCAAGGCGCGCTCTGGGTGGGGCTTCTGCCTCTACACCCGATTTTTTAAAATAGATAAGCTCTCAGTTCAGATGCAGCTCCTCCCTGAGCCGCCACATGCGCTTCCTGGCTGCCTTGTACATCCTCGGGCTTGAGGTGGGCTTGCGTTCTCTTTGGGGGGTTTAGGGTTTAGGGTTTAGGGTTTAGGGTTTAGGGTTTGGGGTTTGGGGTTTAGGGGTTAGGGTTGAGGGTTTAGGGTTTAGCACCTCAAGTCTCATGCATTGGAAGAGCAAAGGCGTTCCTTGCAGACAAGGGGCCGGATCTCATGCGATGCTACTTCCTTCATTGCTCTCATGTGGGAGTGGCTAACCCTGCAGTGGTTGTCGTACTTCTTGTTCCTTGGTCCCAAGGACACCTTTGAAGATCAACTTTTACACATCCCAACGCACAGGCACGCTGGACGAGCTAGGTCCGGGCACTTCAATCTAGGCATATACTCGCCGAGTTTGATTCTTTTTTGAACCCTCAACCCCAACTAAACCCCAAACCTTAAACCCTAAACCCTACTAAACCTTACTCAACCCTGCAAAACCCTGCAAAACCCTACTAAACCCTACTAAACTTACTGAATCCTACCCCAAGGCCAGGAGTCTTGTTCAGCTTCACCTGTCTCATCTTGTGGAAAGCATCGGAAAACTGCGGGAACACGTGCGCCGCCACCTGTCCCCATGGAGGGAGTTGAGGGCTGTGGGCTAATTGGGCCATTGAACCGTCTGAAGGGTTTACAGTTTAGGGTTTAGGGTTTAGGGTTTAGGGTTTAGGGTTTAGGGTTTAGGGTTTAGGGTCTAGGGTTTAGGGGTTAGGGTTTAGGCCCTGCAAGCCCTCGATTCGAAATAAGACACAAGCCCTAAGCCCTCGCTAAGCCCCATCCCCTCCAAGTTGAAAACACGAAACCCTAAAGGCCCTAAAGCCTGCACCCCAAAACCCGAAACCACATAACATAGGGGCCCTAATCATTTTAATAGGGTTTGGGGGGGGGGGGTTATGATTCTATCGGGGGCCATACTATTCGTAATGATTCCGGCCCCAAAATGGGCATTTGCCGAAAAAGGGCTACCCTTTTATACCACCCCAATTGAATCCCTAAAAAGGGACCCTCCCCCCCCCAAAAAAAAAAAAATAAAGGGGGACTCCTAAACCCTAATCCCTAATCCCTAAACCCTAAACCCTAAACCCTGAACCCTAAACCCTAAACCCTGAACCCTAAACCCTAAACCCTAAACCCTAAACCCCCATTTTCGGAAATCCCTATATGAAGCCCGAAGCCCAGGACACCGACACAGCGCCGGCACCCCGGCCTTGTAGGACTCCGGCTCCTCCGGGATGGCTTTAGGGTTTAGAGTTTAGGGTTTAGGGTTTGGGGTTTAGGGTTTAGGGTTTAGGGTTTAGGGTTCAGGGTCAGCTAGAAGAGATCCCAGGCTTTAGGGCTGAGGAGCGTTTAGGATTGGGGTTTAGGTGCTTTAGCGCGTGGCGTTAAGGCTTGCGAGTGTTAGGGTTTTGGGGGGGTGAGAGATTTATGCTCGGTAAACAGTTTGGGGATAAGACTTAACCTGAGCCAAAAACCCGGGACCCGAAACCATACAACCGAACCCCAGAGCGCCTGGACCCAACATGTGAGATATGTTATACTATAATCTTGAAATATCACAATATTTTATAATATCATAAACGTATAACATTGCAATAAGTTCCGACTAGAGTTTTTTGTCTAAAACATATACTATTGCAATACTGAACCCTAAACTCTAAACCCTGAACCCGAAAGCCATTCCTCCAAGATGATCGGGACGCAGCCAGAGAGGTGAGACAGCGTCGTCTCCCAGGCAGTAACCTGCGCCTTGCAAGCTTTTCTTCGAGGGGGGGGGGAAAAAGAGGAGGGGGGAGAAGGGGGAAGGGGGAGAAGGGGGGTGGGGGAGAGGGGGGGGGGGGAGAGGAGGGGGGGGAGAGGAGGGGGGAGCTCAGGGATGGGGGCTTAGAGTTTGGGGATACACCCTGAACATCCTCTTTTGGGATACAACCTGAACACCTATGCCCAAAAACCCAAAACCCTCAACAAATCTGTAACGCCTTCACACAAACCCAAAACCCTGAACCCTAAGACCCTAAGACCCTAAAACTAGAATCGAAAACCCTGAGCCTGAAACCCTAAACCCCAAAGTCTCTGCATCTCAAAACCCCGAAAGACCCAATTCAAGTATAATGTGGAATCCTTCCACTGCTACTGCATCTGCTGTTGCCTCTAACCCCCCCTCAACTCCTAAATCCCCCAAATACCAGACCCCATACCTTTTGCAGTCCTCATCCGACTTGCGATGCTCAAGGCGGCTCGCCACGTTGCAGTCGCCAATCCTGCCGTCATGCTTGGGGCTCCCTGCAGTTTCTGGTTCATGTTTAGCGGGTTTAGGGTTTAGGGCTCAGGGGTTCAGGGGTTTAGGGTGTCGAGCTTAGGCTTACAAAACAAAAAAACAATCGCCCCCTTTTTTCCGGTGCGTGGCGATATCGCCTTCCAGCAGTCACTACGGAGTAGTGAAACAAAAGCAACCTGTGTCAGGACAAATTCAAGGGGGGCATAGGGTTTAGGGTGTAGGGTTTAGGGTTAGGGGGCCGGGGAGCCTAAGCCCTTATTCCGAGGTCCTTCGGAAGGGCTCGTTGACGCAGGCGTTGTCGAGGAGCTTTGACTTCAACTGCTGGGGGTGCACATGCGCAATGCAAGAAGGTGCCTTCCCCAACTGGCCGACCATTCGGTATGAGTAGCCTTAGCTAAGCCAGTCTTCGAAATTAGGCTGTAGGATCTCTCAGTTCAGATCAAAGCAGGCGCAGTAGCAGCATGGTGTTCACTGGCTAGGACAGCTACGGCTGTGGTTCACGTTCGAGTGGCTAGCACTATGTGTTTGTTTCTGAGGAGCTTCGAAATCACTAAACCCTAAGCCACCCTAAACCCTAAGAATAAGGCACCGCATATTTGCCTCGGCCGAAGGCATTCAAAGGTACCCATGGAAGCCCACGAGCTCACCTCTACCCTCTCAAGGCATCCCTGTTGTGATTCTGAGCTCGGGTTTGGGTTAGGGTTAGGGTTCAGTGTTTAGGGTTTAGGGTTTCGGGTTTAGAGGGTTTAGAGGGTTGAGAGGGTTTGGAGGGTTTGGAGGATTTAGAGGGTTTGGAGGGTTTAGAGGGTTTAGAGGGTTTAGGGTTGAGGGCTTAGGGCGCATGGAGCTCCGTAATTCTTAAGTGATGGGAATGAGGTAAGACGCTAAAACGGTTGACGCACAGCAAGGATCCCAAAATGGACCGTCATCTTGCCGAAACCCTAAACCCTGAACCCTGAACCCTAAACCCTAAACCCTGAACCCTAAACCCTAAACCCTAAAAACCCTTGGAAGGCCGCCAAGCAACAAGACATAATGCGTGCCACGGGCTCCCTGAAGATGGTGACACAAGAGAACTGGTGGACTCCCCGTCGAGCAAGGTTGTTCGTGGTCGCCTTGTGGGTTGTGGGTTTGGGGTTGAGTAGGGTTTGGCGGGTCTCGGGTTTCAGGGTTTGGGGTGTTAAGTTGAGGGTTTAGGGACATTGTCCGCCGACCCTGGCGGCGTGTTGGATAGGTTTCTGGAGGTGAAAACCTCCCTTTTTCCCTCCTTACCCCCCCAAAATGCGGGGGGGTAGGGGGGGTACCCCGGCAGCTTTTCCGTGGAGGGCCAGGCCACCCACACCGCGTAAACTCATGGACCATAGGCGGTTTCGCACAGGGCATGGGGGCTTTTTTTTGGAAAAAACCCACCTTTTACCTGCCCCCCCCCCTACCCCCCTACCGCCCCCCCCCCCTACCGCCCCCCC